CATCATGAACTTCATCGTCGTCATCATCATCATCATCCGATTCATCATCATCATCATCATTCGAAGCATCCGGGTCATCATCATCACCATCATCCTTACCATCATCATCCGAGTCGTTATCATTCGAATCATCATCATCATCATCCGAGTCATCATCATCCGAGTCATCATCGTCCGAGTCATCATCATCCGAGACATCATCATCATCATCCGAGTCATCCGAGTCATCATCATCATCTCCACCATCATCATCCGAGTCATCATCATCCGAGTCGTCATCATCCGAATCGACATCATCCGAGTCATCATCATCCGAGTCATCATCATCTTCATCCGAGTCATCATCATCATCATCATCATCATCATCATCATCATCATCATCATCATCAAATCCGAATCATCATCATCATCATCATCATCATCATCATCATCATCATCATCATCATCATGAATCGTCATCATCATCATCATCATCATCATCATCATCATCATCATCATCATCATCATCATCATCATCATCATCATCATCATCATCATCATCATCATGATCATCATCATCATCATCTTCATCATCTTCACACGAGTCATCGTCATCATCGTCATCATCCGAGTCATCATCATCATCATCATCCGAGTCATCATCATCATCATCATCATCATATGTGTCGTGATCATCATCATCAACTTCATCGGAGTCATCATCATCGTCATCAACATCACCATCCTCCGAATCATCATCATCCGTGTCATCATCATCCGAGTCATCATCATCATCATCATCATCCACATCATCATTCAAGTCTTCCGAGTCATCATCATGATCATCGTCATCATCATGATCGACTTCTTCATTCAAGTCGTTCGAGTCATCAGCATCATCATCATCATCCGAGTCATCATCATCATCATCAACATCATCGTCATCCTAATCATCATCATCATCATCAACATCATCATCCGAAACATCAGCATTCGAGTCGACATCATCTGATTCGACATCATCCGTGTCATCATCATCCGAGTCGTCGTCAACATCATCCGCGTCATCATCATCATCATACCAGTCTTTCCATTCATCATCATCATCATCATTATCATCATGATCATTATCTGCATCATCATCATCATCCGAGTCATCAGCATTCGAGTCATCATCATCATGATCAATATGATCATCATTGTCATCATCATCATCTTCCGAGTCATCGTCATCTTCATCATCATCACCATCATCAGCCGAGTCATCCTCATCATCATTTTCATCCGAGTCATCACTATCATCGTCACCATCATCATCATCCGAGTCATCATCATCATCATCGTCATCATCATCGTCATCCGAGTCATCATCATCATCGTCATCATCATCATCTTTATTCTAGCCGTCATCATTCGAGTCATTATCATCAACATCATCATCATCCGATTCATCATCATCCGAGTCATCATCATCCGAGTCGACATCATCCGAGTCAACATCATCATCATCATCATCCGAGTCCTCACCATCTTCAACATCACCTTCATCATCCGAGTCATCATCATCATCATCCGAGTCATCATGGTCATCATCCGAGTCATCCGATTCATCAACATGATTATCATCACCATCATCCGAATCATTGTCATCCGAGTCATCATCATCCGAGTCATCATCGTCATCATCCGAGACATCATCATCATCATCATCATCAACATCCTAATTCAAGTCGTCCGAGTCATCATTATCATCATCCGAGTCATCATCATCATCAACATCATCGTCATCGTAGTCATCATCATCATCACCATCATTATCCGAGTCATCATCATTCGAGTCGACATCATCCGAATCGACATCATCCGAGTCATCATCAACCGAGTCATCGTCAACATCATCCGCGTCATCATCATCATCATCATTATCATCATCATCATCGTCGTCATCATCAACATTATCATCATCATCATCCGAGTCATCATCATCCGAGGCATCATCATCCGAGTCGACATCATCCGTGACAATATTATCATCATCATCATCATCCGAGACATTATCATCATCATCATCCGAGTCATTATCAAACGAGTCATCATCATCATCATCCGAGTCATCATCATCATCATCCGAGTCATCATCATCATTATCCGAGTCATCCGATTCATCATCATCGTCACCATCATCCGAATCGTCATCATCCGAGTCACCGTCATCCGAGTCATCATCATTATCATCCGAGTCATCATCATCATCATCATCATCCACATCATCATTCAAGTCTTCCGAGTCATCATCATCATCATCATGATCAACTTCTTCATTCAAGTCGTCCGAGTCATCAGCATCATCATCATCATCCGAGTCATCATCGTCATCATCCGAGACATCATCATCATCATCATCATCAACATCTTAATTCAAAACGTCCGAGTCATCATTATCATCATCCGAGTCATCATCATCATGATCAACATCATCGTCATCGTAGTCATCATCATCATAACCATCATTATCCGAGTC